AGCGTGCTAATAAAATAACAAGTTTTTTTAAAAGATCTCATAAAGCTGCAGCAATTTTAAAACAAAAAATTTCGGTATACCAAATTAGTGGAGGTGGTCTTAAAACCTATATTGAAACAAGATAGACAACAGTACATAAATACATTTCATCAATTGTACGACTCAAGGTTTGTTTAGAGGATATTCAGAAAAATCATTCTGAAATTCTTAATCCTGTTATTTTGATGATTCTCTGTAGTCGAGGCTTTTTTAGTGATATACAATATTTTTCAGAGATTTTACTTCCAATTAAGGATGCTATTTTGTCAGTTGAAGCAAATTGTTCTACACTTGCTGACTGTTATATTAATTTGATGAGAATTGCTGCGGAAATACAAAATCTTCCTACTGATGAATATAGAGAATTTCGCAATTATTGTATTAGAAAGTTTGATCAACGGTTTGAAGAATTTAATGATCCTGCTTATCAACTTACATATTTTCTTCACCCAGCATACAAAGGTATTGGATTAAAATTTGGTACATTTCCTTTAATTGCAAGTTATGCTGGAAAGTTATGGCAACAAATGGGCAAATCTCAAGAAAGTTGTGAAGCTTTAATTACACAACTGCGTTTTTATAAAGAGCAAGAACAAAATATAAATGAAAATCCAAATCCTTATGTTGGCCCTTATACAATTGGTAGTGATACGCCATTGATGTGGTGGAATACTTGTGGAGCTAAATCTAACAATTTGCAATGCTTGGCTGTTAAACTTTTTTCTATTACGCCAAGTTCTGCTAATTGTAAAAGAATTTTTTCATCATTAGGATGGATTTATGGAAATTATCAAACACGATTAGATATAGATCGATTAGAAGGGTTGGCAAAAGTTTATCAGTTCAATTTATCAAATCCTATAGATCAACTTTGTCATACTCAAATTATGGAAATAACTCCTGAAATAATGTCTGATATTGCAGAAACAGTTTTTAAAGAATTTGAAGAAGAAAGATTAGTGGAAGAAAGACATAGAATTGTCTAATCCTACTGAAGATCTTTATTCTAATAAACTAGATTTAAATTTGAATGTTTCAAATTTTATTGATTTTCGTTCTTCAGTTTTTACAAACTCTGAAGATCGTTATGAAAATGAGATGTCAAATGAAATCGAGTCAGATGATAATTTACAAGAAAATGAATATGACGTAAATGAAATTGTTTCTAGACAGTTCAATGATTCATATTAGATATAGGCATTATAAAGTGTTAACATATATATTTTTTATGGTTTATACAGTATATTTTAGTGTTAGAGTATGGCAGAATTAGGTCATGTGTTACTGTGTCAGTAGCATCTTTAGTAAAAATGTAAGGGATACCAATACTTGTGATGGATAATAATTTTGGACATTTAAATTGAATTTATATATTTC